GTATGGTTATCAAAGTATTTGTTAACTTGAATTAAAGTTTAAGATATATTGTGCATCTCTCAAAATTTATATCCTATAATTATTTCTTACATATTTCTTTTTATTTGGGTTCAAAATATACTACAAATTGATTCTTTCTGTATTTATTTTAAAATAATACCCACTGTTTTTAATATTTTTAAGGCATCTAAATTAGGAGTAGAAAATGAACTTGCAAAATACCCAACGGACATTAAGGCAAGTTAACTTTCCTTCTATATACCGCCTGCTTCAGCATATCGATAGAGTAGGCATCCTTGCTCCTGTCCCTCCTTAAATCTCCTGGATCTGCTAAATGGATCTAGAAAATAGATCTAGCCATTTTCTATTTATTACAGCTATTCACATATCTGCCCTATCTTCTTGGAGTCTCAGAAAGAAAGACTGAATAGGGCAAAAGAAATTATCTAGAGATTATGGTTTAGAATTTTCTAAAACTGATATAAGATATCAATCAGGATTGCAGAAGCTCAGTGAATTCCAAACAGGATTTTATATTAATATAAAGAATGGTATGCTTAGACACATTATACTCAAACTGTTTGAAACTAACACTAAGAACAAGCTGCCAAAGGAGCAAAATGAAAAATTATATTCAAGAGATGAAGATTAACAAATTAATTAAGAAATATAATGAAATATAATGAAGATTAAGAAATATAATGAAGTTAGAAAACAATGGAATAATAACTACAGAGTTCTGAAAGAAAAAACTGCCAAGCTAGAAATCTAAAACAGCAAAAATATATTTCAAAAATGAAGATAAAACTAAGAACACTTTTAAATAAATAAAATCTTAAAAAAGAATTTGTCACAACACACTTACATTATTAAAAAAATACAATAGCAAGTTTTTCAGGCTGAAGAAAAATTATGCTGGATAGAAACATTGATCACTAAGCTTAATATTTTTCCTTGATATTCTTATTAGTGATGTATGAACAGTAAATATATGAAGATATTCAATGTCATCATTCATTAGGAAAATTAAAATTAAAATTAGAAGACACCATCATACAGAACAGATATGAGTGGAAAAAGCTGACAGAAACCAGTTCTGGAGGTAGGGATTGAAGGAAGTGAAATTCGTATGTTCGTGAAATCATGCACTGATATAACCACTTTGGAAAACTTTTTGACAATATCTTCCATAGCTGAAAACTCTCTTCCCCCAAACCAAGAAGTTCTACAGGTGTATATCCAAGAGAAATATGTATATATGCCCACCAAAATAAATATATAAGAATATGCACAAGAACTTTACTCATAATAGTCAATTTTTGAAAATTACCCAAATGTCTACTACCAATATATTGGATAAATAAATTTTTACTATTTACACATACAGAATGGTAAACAATAGAGTAAAATAAAGAATAAACTATTGAAATGTAGAAAACATGAATGAATCTCAAAAATCAACACATTAAATGGAAGAAGACAGATACAAAAGAGAACTACATACTACATAATTTCACTTATATAAAGTTCAAGAACAAGTAAAAATTAATGAATGGTGAAATAAATTAGAACAGTGATTACTTCAGGGTGGTAGGACACAAACTGAGACAGGGACTGAAAGGGGACTTTTTGCTATGCTGGAAACATTCTACATACCATCGTGGGTGAAGGTTATAGGAGTCCACATGTACATAAACATTCATTGTGCATACACATAAAAGCAAAATGTGTACATTATTATATGTATATCAGCATATTAAATAATCAATAAACAAAAAAATCTTGAGTCACAAAGGGGAAGTAATTCACATGCAAAGATTTTAGTATATATTAAAAAACGGAAAACAGTTGGTGCTAGTGGTGTCTGTAATCTTTTCTCTAATGGACCTCTAAAACAATGATAGTAAAATTTTATAATTGTAAAAAACTTTGGTACTCTCTTAGGAGTTATAAGTTCTTGATTATTTGTTCATACATACATTTCTTTATTCACAAAGTATATAAACTAAATTGTATGTTACATCCTTCATTTTAGAGAAAATAAATCTGAAGAGATAGAAAATGCACTTTGAGAGTGAATTATAAATAGGATGGTCAGGAAAGACATCATGGGCAACCTCAATCAAGTAGAGAGGAGCTTTGAGTAGAGAGGCAAGCCATTATATCAAAGCAAGGCCATAAGAGTAATAGCTAATGCAAAAGTCCTAATGTAGGGATCTACCTGGCTTATAGTGGGGGGGACAAAAACAGCAAGGAGCCAGAATGGCTTGAACTTACAAGGGAAAGAGTACTAAGAAATGATTTCAGAAAGGAAATAAGAAGCCAGATCATACATGGTCTTAGGCCATTAAAATGAATTTGGTTATTATTGTGAATAAGAAGGAAAGCCATTAGGACTGGGGAAAATTCAGGGAAATAAAATGATCTAAATTGCATTTTGATAGGATTACTTAGCTGTTATGTTGAAAATAACTGTGGAAAAGCATATAGGGGTGTTTTAAAAAGGGAGAGCAGTAAGATATTGAAAGACAGAGAGAGAGAGAGAAGGAGAGATAGGTAGATAAGATATGATGTGGTTTAAAGCATGGTTAAGAAACCCTACCCCACAGTGAGTGATAATCAGATTTTTGGGTTTGATACCCAGTATGGCAAAAAACAAAGTAAAAAAGATTCTGAATCTATTACAACAGCAAAGCTGACCTGATATGCTGTTAAATCAGATGTAGGAATTGAGAGACAGGGAGTAAGGTTTTCTCTTCTGAAAACCGAAAACATGTTATAGTCTAGCATACTCTAACATTCAAAGGTCAAACTGAAGGAGCAATCAGCAAAGGAGAATGAGGACACCTTCTAAGGAAAAACAAAACCAACTGGATAAAGTGCCCCAGAAGTCAAAAAAGGAAAGTGTTTTCTAAGGAAAAAATGCTTAATTGGGTCAAATGCTGCTGACAGGTAAAAAGATAAGAACTGAAAAACAGTCACCAGATTTTGCAAGACAGGGCAGGGAAACAGGCTAAGGCACAAAAGGATTATTGGGCAGGATTAAGAGCTGACTTGAGACTAGTGTTCATGAATATGAAGTGATAGCAGTCAGTATGTTGTATTTTAAGAAAGATACCTTGAGCTCCACACATGTAGTTGCAAAGCTGCATTTAAAAAGCAGTTTGACAAACAGAAAGGAGAACAACAGATTTGAAGGCAGATATAAGAGTATGATTACCACAGATCATAGAATGAAAAAAGAAGGTATAAGATAAATAGTGAAATGCTGATTTAGATTGACACAGAATTGCTGATAACAGTGGAACTGAATAAATGTTGGAGGTAAGGCACCAGAGAGAATTCATTAGAAAATTACAAGGAGGAGATAATGGAGGAGTTGCTTAAAACTGAGATTAATAAAATTACTGTAATTGTGGAAAATAGCTCGCCAGTATCAGACAAAGCAAATAAAGTAGGGTGAAGATTCAAGATTCTTACAAGTGAAGAATCAGGAAACTAAGAATCTTAGAAGTTTTACCTATATATATTTTTAAATCACCAATCACTGAAATAGGAATAACGATATAAACAGTGACAGTAGGACAAGAGCTAGAATTCTTTAAGGATTAAGAAAAAAATGATATGAAAAGTCATTAAAGTGTTATAAAGGCAAGAAGGGTCCTCATTCCTCTCTTCACAGAGGTATTTATTCTCACATATTTTACACACTTATATACCACACCCATGGAAGACATATTATTTTGTTTTTGCTTACTGTTAACTGTATGATTTTACATAAATGATATTATACTGTGTTCTTTATAAATTTCTACAACTTGAATTTTTATCACTTAAAAGATTTTTCTTTTGAAGATAAAACAACCACTTGTAATAGCTCCTGACACTGTGGACCCAATTTTAACAGGGAAAACATTATCCTTAAATATATATACCTTGAAGCTTTCTACTAAGTTCAAGTTTTTCCTGTTCAAGACGCTTAATTCTTCTCTCATAAGCTTCTGTTGCTAAGTTGTTATCAAGAGTCCTCTGGACATTAACATCGAGATCCAGTGAGGTGGGACCAGCTGTGACTCTTAAACAGCTCCGATCAGAAAGAACACTGAAGGGAAAAAATATATATGTGGGTTCACACTGCAATAAAAAGTCTGAAAAAAATTACCTTTTGAAATTTAACACATGGATTTGAATATCTATAGAATTTTTTTTATAAAATTACCATAAGACACTGTTAAAAGTATTTTTTGAATGAAAACTTAAATCCACCAAATGGTTCTAAATTTTAAAAAGCACAAATTTTTATAAAATTAAATTTGGTGAAGGATTAGTGGTTTGACCACAGTTAAGTATAATAGCAGTCAAAACTAACAACCATAGTGCTCTTTACCAGAATTTGAAATCTAAAATTCAAAAGGTGCTTTCCTTAATTCAATAGAAGTTAATTAAAAATAACAGAGGTGATAGACATTCAGCAGTAAAGAAAATAAATAGAAATCCTTGTCAATGTAGAGCTAAAATTTTGTTACAGGAACAGAAAGAAGACAAATAAATAATATATTCTATACATTAAAGTGTTAAATGCTAAAAAGAAAACATGAAGCAGGGAAATGAGAAATGAAGTCTTGAGGCAGAAGAGATAAAGGTTTAGATGAAGGGATCAGAAAAGCTACTCTTGTGACAACAACTATGAGAAAAGCTAAGTGTAGGAGGCCAGCAAAAGGTATATTAGAAGGAAGAGCATTCAGGCAACTGGAATAAGAATGCAAGGCTCCTGGGTCAGAAAAGAGTTCTGTGTGGATAGAATAGAGTAGAATAAGGAGAAGAACAGAAGGAAATAAAATCAGGAAAAATAAAAGAGAGCCAGTTATATAGGGCCTAGTAAGAACTTTGGTTTAGCGTAAAGATACAAAGTCACTGAAGTTGAGCAGTGAAGGGGACTGGTCCTGAACAGAGTAGTGACATGTTCTGACTTAACTTACGACAGGATACCGGGACAGGTTCAGAGAAATATAACAAAGGAGATTATGAACATATTATGTAGGATTAAGATAAATTTGAAGTAGAAGAGAGAAAAGAGGTCTCAGCTACAGATGCATAGCCCAAATATCTGGGAAAACAATCAAGAAGAAGTTGGGAAAAAGAAATCCAAAGACTGAGCCCTAGAACATCTGATATTCAGAAATCAGGATGATTAGGAGGAATCAGGTATGGAGATCGAGGAGTACCCAGAAAAGTAAAAAAGAAAATCAGCAAAGTGCTCTAGAAGTGAAGAGAAGAAGGTTAGTGATCTGTAGCCGTAGAAAGAAGACGAGACAAGGCAAAATCAGTAACACTAGGAATGAGAAGTGATCACTGGATTTAGCAACAAAAGTCAATGGAAATGAGATAAAAAGCAGTATGCATGAAGTGACAGGGAATAAATCTCCATCTTGGATTCAAGAAAGAACAGAATGAAAAACACAAACAGTCAACAGTCAGAAGAAATTTTGCTATATGTAGAAGAGAGAAAAGGTTGCTAACAAATGAGATCCAGAGATATTTTTTATTTTGCTTTAAGAAGGAAGACAAACAGTGTTTTTATAAACCAAGGGAAATTATCTGCTGATAGAGATGACACATAGGCAAAAATTATGGTATAAAACTGGGCAGTGCACTGTGCTAGACAGTAGAGACAGAACAGGTTGACCTTACTTGCAAGCTTACATGGTCTATCTATGAAAAGAAAAGCACATAAGAATCCAGAGGTACACAGGTAGAAAATCTAGTTAAAGTTTGCAGAAGTTTTCTCCTGCTGGTTTCAATCCTCTCAGTGAAACAGAAAGCAAGATAATCAGCTGAGAGTGAGAATGATTGAGGTTTTGGAGGCAAATGTGAAATATGAAATTTTAATCCAGGTGAGTGGAAGAGTGAGCACACTAGGGTAAAATAGTATATATGCCAAACAACAACATAGGACATTTGAATTTGGTGAACTTGAATATATGCCAAACAACAACATAGGGCATTTGAATTTGGTGAACTTGAATTTCTCTTGTCACTCTGAACTACATAGGCAGAGACAGAATTTACTTTTAATAATTGATGTTGACTTAGCAAAGCAAGCATAAAAGAATGAGAGATGGCCAAGGGAACTGAAGTGGCATGTAAGGAGTGATTATACTCATTCTCAGTGGAATCTAAATTGGGTGAGGAGGAACAAGAAGGCATAAAGGCAGTGAGAAATGGGTTAAAGGATGGGAACATCAATAAGCTGAAAATTCTGGTGCTTGACATCTAAAGAATATTATTCAATACCCCATGGTAGGACTCTTTCAATTCCTGATAACAGATTATGAGCTCTCCAGTGGTCCTACTACTTCCTCTCTAAAATGAGTTAATCTTCTTGTGTATACTATTCATTTTCTATATCTAGCTTTTTCCCAACTGTAGATTAATTCTATTTTTAAAAAAATTACCAAGGCTCTCTCATACATTACATATTTTTTAAAAAAATCCATGTAAATTATCCAAATTATATTAACTTTTGAAACTTACCAACTACTAGTATAAGTAAAACCAACAAATGGCAGATGATGACCAGAAAATGCAGTATGTGTTGGTGGAGGCATTGTTTCCTAAAGGAAGGGGGAAAAAATCTGGTGAAAAATAGATAGTCATGACCTATATATTGGGCTATAAACATTAACTGTCAATGGAAATATGTGACTATTCCATTTAGGAACACTGGTAATTTTGGCACAGATATTAAGTGATAAAAAATTTACATCATGAACACTGGTACTATAAAATTATAATAAATGAAAATGAAGACTGAAAATTTGATAGTAACAGTACAGTCATTTACTGTATATATTCTGCCTTTGCAATTTTTCTAGATGATACAATTAACTTGCAAACTCAAAAGCAATACTCAGTGGTTTTGCAACCATTCAAGATGTACAGAGCAGAAAAAAATTTAAGCTGCTCTATGCTCAGATTCCTAGCCATGACTCGAACACCTAAAGTCATTCAAGCTTTCACACTGTAAACAAACATCCACTACATATATAAACATTTATGTTTCTTACATTTTTGTACCTTTTTTGAGAGATTCCACTGTTTAAATGACTCCCAAGTACAGCACTGAAGTTCTGTCTAGTATTTCTTTTTTTGGTACTGGGGTTCAACCAGGGACACTTTACCACTGAACTACATCCCCAGCCCTTTTGTTTTGTTTGTTTGTTTGTTTGGTGGGGGGGGGGTACGTACTGGGGATTTAACTGGGACACTCAACCACTGAGCCACATCCCTAGCCCTATTTTATATTTTATTTAGAGACAGGGTCTCAGTGATTTGAACTCATGATACTCCTGCTTCAGCCTCCCAAGCACTGGGATTATAGTTGTGTGACATGGCGCCTGGCTTACTTATTTTTTGAGACAAGTCCAGGCTAAATTGATGAAGGTCTCTCTAATTTACTCAGACTGGCCTCAAATTTGCAGTCCTCCCACTTCAGCCTCCCAAATTGCTGGGGTTACAGTCAAGTGCCACTGCACTCAGCTCTATCTAGTGAGAAAGCTATAATGTACCTTAACAGACTTAATAACATCTTAAATAAGCTTCATTCAGGCCATGAATTACAGTGTTGCTAAACATAAGTTCAATGCCAATGAATTAACAATATATGAGGAGTCTTTAAACAGCATCACACATAAAACACAATTATGTATTGGTAAGTTCATGAAAATGTTATGACCACAAAAACCTAAACATGTCTTTCTAAGAATGATGAATCAATGTTAGCTAATATAGTGTTCACAATAACTTTATAAAATATACTACCATGAATAATTAGAATTAACTATACCATAAATTTAATTTGGAATGACTCATAATTTCTGTTAACAGTGAATATAATATATAATTCTAATAATAAAATATTGGTGAGGAGCTGGGCAAGGTGGCACATGCCTGTAATTACTGTTACTCATGAGGCTGAGGCAAGAGGATCACAAGTTCAAGGCCACACTGAGCAACTCTGCAAGACTACTTCTCAAAAATCAGGCATGGTGGCACACTCCCATAATCCCAGCAGTTTGGGAGGCTGAGAGAGGAGCATCACAAGTTCAAAGCCAGCCTCAGCAACAAGGAGGAGCTAAGCAATTCAGTGAGACCCTACCTCTAAATAAAATACAAAATAGGGCTAGGAGTATATGGCTCAGTGGTTGAGTGCCCCTGAGTTCAATCCCTTCTATACCTCCCTCCCTGCAAATCAAAGAAAAGATTAAGAGCTGGGAATATAGCTCTGAGCTCAGTGGTATAGTATTTGTCTAACATATACAAAAACCTGGGTTCAATTCCCAGTAGAACAAATTTTTTTTTCAAGAGAGAGTGAGAGAGAATTTTTTAATATTTATTTTTTAGTTTTCGGCGGACACATCTTTGTTTGTATGTGGTGCTGAGGATTGAACCCGGGCCACACGCATGCCAGGTGAGCGTGCTACCTCTTGAGCCACATCCCCAGGGCCAGAACAAAAATTTTTTAAAGGATGCAAGGAAAGTCTATCTAGTTTTTTCTTGTGAAGTTTTGAAAGTGTAAGAGAAGTTCTTACCTGCCTTGAGTGTATTAAGAACAGTAAAAAATCATACAAAATAAATATAAAAAATTTTAGTACAGAATAAAAACTACAAGAAGTAAAATTCAGTAAAACAAAACTCAAATGAAGAGAAGTAAAAAGGCAAAAAAAAAAATCTACAAATTTTACATGCTTATTTTCCTAAATTTTAACATAACCTGATGATTCACAACAGAGATCAACACACCATGCTGTCCTTGTAAGAATGGTAGAATATTTTTCTAGTTCACTTGTCTGCCATTTTCCTCAAGCAGAATAGCCTCAGGCTAGTAAGGCTCTAGACTTCCCCCATTCATTTCCTACCAAGTTTGCTATTTTTTGCAGCAACATGATTGGTGTGGTTATTTAGCTCTCCAAATTGAGTCTTCCCCTTCTGGCAGCAAATGCTATCTTTTACATCCAGAACCATTCTACTAGTACAAGTGTCACAACCAAGCAGATAATGAGGATGGAGGATGTGCTATGTGTGATTTTAACCAAAGCTAACGAGTGTTTCATGAATAAATTCTCAATTTATTTCCCTTTGGTTAACATATTAAGCCATTAAATGTTTTTTGGCAGTTTTGACTAGATTCAGGACTGATTTTTTAGGGAGAGATTTCCCAACTCCTCCACTTTGCAATCAAGAAAGCATGCAATTTGTCTTCTTCTTAGGAAATCTACTGCAATAACTTATCAAAGAAGTTAAGTCTTTGAATTTTACTCAATTGTGAATAACTACATTGGCCCCAGTTAACTCTTCATTTCCCTATTAAATACTGGAAGTCTTGACTATTGTTTGATTAATAACTGATAAGGTGGTCCTAGTACAATATTGGTAAACCAAAAAATTACTTTATAAGCATATTTAAAAGAAACAGGAACAGAACTTCTTCATAATGTCATACTTACAGAATTTTTTAAACAGTCATCATCTACATCAAAATTCGATGTATCTGTTGGGCTACTAACTTCTGGAATATAAGGTGCTTCACAGTTTCTAATATTATCCCAATCAATTCCACTAAAAAATGGATGTTTCTTAAAGTCTTCTATTCCATTTTGACCAAGTCGATGCTCTCTGCTACAAATAAGTCTTCGAATAAGATCCTTAGCATTTTCAGATACATCAGTCACTTGGGGTGGAAACTGAAATCTCTCCTATACAAAGAATGACAGAAACAAAGTGAGTATAGATCAATATTAAGCTTATAAAGTAGTGTAATTGATTTGTATATTTTTCTTAAAAATACGTTTCATTTTTAAAATGCCTGGTAAGTATATTCTGGGAAATAGTACTAATACTAAAGGAGATATAGGGATGAATAAAGAAAAGATCATTTCCCTAAAAGAACTTTTAATTTTATATGTGACTTAGTCACATTTGTGCTACAGGAAGAGTAAATACTATAAAACCTTATACTGTTATTAGAATGAAAAGGACTGATTAAGAGTGGGAGAATTCAACTCAATATCTCAATAAGATGTAGATGGTTGATAATGTTTCTATACAATACAAACTAATTATTAACTTATTAATATTAAACATTTTTAAAGAATGTAATATGTATCTGATGCTATTAAAAGTCATTTACCCCTTTAACTCATTTAGTCTTTAACACTATCATCTTAGGTATGTACTACTACTATGGAAGAGGAAACCAAGTAATTTTCTCATCTAGTAGAATAACAAAAATGGATCTTGAACTGGAGTTATCTCACTCCAGACCTATGCTATTAAATACCATGTTACACTACAATAATTTGTTTTTTTAATATTTATTTTTTAGTTATAGGTGGATACAATGTCTTTATTTTACTTTATGTGGTGCTGGATTGAACCCAGTGCCTCACGCATGCTAGGCGAGCGCTTTACCTCTGAGCCACAACCCCAGCCCTACAATGATTTCTTAAATGCTGTCCCTGATTTTTCTTACAACTAACTAATCTTTCTTTGTAGCTAGTTACAACACTATCTTTGCAGGTAGGTGGAAGAACAAAAACTTATATAAAACTGATTTATACACTTGTAAAGTGCCGAAGTCCAGCTGCAGCAAAATACCCAGGGGGGGTGATGAACTACTTGTGTAGATTGATACAGCAGGAGTAGGAGCCATTTATTGTAGGACAGGAGCGGTATTTATACATTCCACACAGCTTATCTTAATTAGCATAAACTCAATACAGCAGTCAACCAATAAGGAATCTCCAAACTTAATGGCTTGCTGGCATTACTTTACAAACCACTCCCTCTGGCATTTTGCAAGGCGCCATCCAGACCCTAACATTTCTCTGGCAAAATGCCAGGCGCCATCCTGACCTGTTTACAGACTCTTAACAGTAAAGCAAGTAATCATAATTGCATCACCAAAACAAAAGAACAGATTCTCATTCCCTTATGGGGGATATTCCTATTCATATGTAGGATTTTTGCAAGTGCTCACAATCTTCTGAAACTCTTCAAACTAAACCTTTCCTCTTATTATGTACAATATTTCTTATTTCACTTTGTACTAAGTAGATTAAAGTTTTTGTAAATTTCTTCCTGTCATACATTTGGATTGTTTCTAATGTTTCATGATCCTGAATAATATCAAAATAGATTATCTTGTATACACATCTTTGTCCTACTAAATATTTCAATTGGGTGGATTTCTAAAACTAAAGTTGCTTAATGAAAACTTCTAACCATTTGTTAAGGCATTTAGGTGCATGCCTGTAAGCTTCCAGACAGAAAGATTACATCAATTTATATTCCTATCAAAAATACCTCATAATGCTCAACACAATAAATTATTTAGTAGAGTACAATTTTTCTTTTAATTTGAAAATCTGACAAGAAAAAAAGGCATCTAATTTTTATTTATACTTGCATTTCATTTGTCAATACCATGGTTGAGATTTTTTACATACATTCTAGTCATAAATCCATGCATAGTGTCATGAGCAATGACTAAAATTGTCCATTATGTCCTTTGTTATTCAGTTGAAAAGACCATTCAATTTCCTACTCATTAGCATCTCCAAATAAAATATAGTAGAAAGCTATAACTAATAACTTTATGTATAATTTATGGATTGTCATGTTCCTACTAACAAATGTAGTTCACTGTTTTTAGAAAAATATTTTCTATTTCCATTTAATTAAACTATATTATTTATCATAATAATCTGGTTTAAAAAAGTAAAATATATACTAACTTTGTGATTCATAATTTTCCCATATGTCTCCACCAGAGATTCTGCATAGAATGGTGTTTCTCCATACAGCATTTCATACATACAGACCCCCAAAGACCACCAGTCACACTCAGGTCCATATCTGCCTTTTCCATCTTCCATTGCTTGAAGGATTTCAGGAGAAATGTAATCTGGGGTCCCAACTGCCACCGAGGACTGGACCTGAAGAAATTTACATTTTTATTAATCTACTGTAAGATATTAGGAACAAAATAATTATATATTATAAAATTACACTTGAGATTCACAACATACAATGTTACCTCACAACTACTACATCTTTGTCATTATCTGAATTTAGTCTCTCATTATATAGGAAACTTATATATAAGTAAGATTTTGTATAATCTCCATGTTAGTGCTTTTTCATATTACATAATACTATAGAATCTCTATTGTAGATGTTACTTAGTTGACTAGATTTAGAGTAACAATATGACTGGAATCATCATAGTTGTTAATAATAAACTAAATATTAGGTTTAAAATATTGACTTATTAACATCTGTATAATTAGTGTGTTTGTATATGTATAAATGGAACTGTGAAAATTTTACAATTAGAGGAGGGAGGGGACAATGAACAAAATTTAGGCCAATATTGAAGATTATGTTTAAACTTATGGTAAACTATGAAAAATAAATGCCAATGACAATGTAATAAAGTATTTACTAATGAAAAAATTATAAAGGGGATAAAGTATATACTTCAAAACCACAGTTTACACACACACACACACACACACACACACCCCAAAATTGTGGATATAATTCACTATAGCAGATTAGGTGTTAAATTAGAAAACTAGTTAACTAAAAAAGATCCTCGGTACATATAATCTAAGGTACCCTGAAATGGCACTTTATATTTTTAAAAGCATAGCAAAAACTGAACATTCTCAAGGTAAACAAGGCTTATTATTCTTGATTTTGCACACTAAATTACTAATCTCAATAATTAGGATAGGATTTAATTTGACAACACTGAGTTGACATAACTTAAAAATTCTTCATATGACCTCTTAAAAATACAACAGCGATTCTTATAAATATAAAAAAACAACTCTTAAAAAAAGAAATTCTGACGGGTCAATAAGCAAGAAATGGTTGACCAGGAAAGTGATAAGCATTAGAGCTGGGATGCGGTTGGAGTGTTCCTGGTTTTCATTTTCTAGGTACTTAGATTTTAAAATACATAAGGAACAAAATGAAAAGACCTATGAGATTATGTAAGGTAGGGACTTTGAAGGGAGGCTACCTATATTATATGCCCTTTACCTTAAGAGGTACATTATTTAGTGAAATGGAAAATTATAAAAATCTGCCACACAGTCAAGAATGACAAGAAGACTTGTTATTGTGGCTGATTTGTGAAATATATTTCTCCTGCAGAATAAAAATTCCTAATTTTAGATCACAAGATCTTAATATTTGGGATTCTAACTCACACTGCTTCTGAAGTCCATATGTTCTCAAGCCAAAAACTGGCATAAATCTTGGCCCTATAGTCAATTTGTTTGTCTCTATGAAGCAAAGCAAATTCAAAATTACTTTGGAGGACGAATGCTTAAATTTGGCCAGATACAATTCTCACACACACACACACACACACACAAAAATCTCACTAAGAATGAGCTCACAATCCAATAATATAAACCAAATGGGGAAACTGTCCATTTTAACTAGCAGTCAAAAATTCCAACAAACGATGTATTGTAACAAAGTATTCATTAATGAAAAAAATTATACAGGGGAAAATTAATTCCTAACAAATATGAGATCTTCTGTTTCAAATAAGTATGTTTAAAATTACTAAAGACACACAAAAAATTAAAAAAAAAACAGATATATACAAACAAGTCTCAGAAATGAATTTATTGAAATTTTGAAAATACAGTGAACAAATAGATTACATACATTGAAAAGAAGGTTACACCTGAAAAAGAGCTTAAGAAGTTCATCACCATCCAGTATGAAAAGATACAAAGATGAAAGATATACAAGAGTACCAACACTAGAGTGAGTAGGTTCAATACCGTATAACATGAGAGAATAAAAGAAAGGACAAAATGCTGTAAAACAATGTTCAAAGAGTTACACCTTTAATATTTTTCAAGAATAATATAAAGCTTGAATCCTTGGAATCAGGAGGCTTTTTAGTCCTGAAAACATAAAACCAGTTCCACTTCTATACCTACTATAGTTAAATTATGGTACACCAAAGGCAAATAGATTTTAAAAAAACATTGAAACACCCCCCCCCAAATGATTTTTTGTGGTGTGTGTGTGTGTGTGTGTGTGTGTGTGTGTGTGTGTGTGTGTGTGTGTGTGTGTGTGTGTGTGTGTGTGTGTGTGTGTGTTGCTGTGTATTGAACCAGGTGAGGCAAGCACTCTATCAACTGAGCTATATACCCAGCCCACTAAAAGATTATCTAAGAGGTTGCGGGTGCAGCCTAGTAATAGAGCACTTGCCTGGAACGCTGAAGGTCCTAAGGTTCAATCACCAGTACTGCAAAAATATAAAAAGATTATCTACCAAAGAATGACAATTAGATTGACAGATGAAATATTAATACTACCAAATAGCAGTGACAACAAATGGAATTATAACTTACAAGTAATGAGATAAAATAATTATCAATACAATATTTCCTACTGTATTAGTCACCTTTGTATTGCTGTGACTAAAATACTTAACAGCAATAAGTAAGAAAAGTTTATTCAGGAATTAGTCACCTTTGTATTAGTCAGCTTTGTATTAGTCAGCTTTGTATTGCTGTGACCAAAATACTTTACAACAACAAGTAAGAAAAGTTTATTCAGGCTTATGGTTTCAGAGGTTTGGTCCATGGTTGGCTAACTTCATTGCTCTATACCTGAGGCAAGGCAAAACACTGTGGCAGCAGGATGTGATAGAGGACAGTTGTCAGCTCATGACAGCCAAGAAGCACAGAGGGGAAAGGATAAGTAAGAGATACAGTCCAAGACTATGTTCCCAATGCAGCTATCACCCAGGAGGTCATTCAAATTATTAATCCAACAAATAGAGTAATCTACTGATGAGTTTACAACTCTCATAATCCAGTCTTTTAAATTTTCAACACTGCCTGACATATGAGTTCTTTGGGATCAATTTTAGATCCAAACCATAATATCCATCTATCTAAATTAAGATACAGTAATGTGTTAAAGACATTTTCATAAAAAGACTGAGTGAGCTGTAACTTATAGATCCTTTTAGAAAAGTACTAAAGGGTATACTTCAAAAAACACAAACTCAGATAGAGGAATGTGATACTAGAAGCAATCAAAAATAAAGATATTAGTAAATTTAAACATGTACTTACATGATTATTTATTACATAACATAATGGAGGAGGAGGAGGAGGAGGAGGAAGAGGGGAAAGAATAACATGACAAGGAAGAAAATGTCAACTACTATTAAGGTCAAAAACTAAGATGTCGAGACCGGAGGAGGAAGACGCGCCAGGGGCCCAGCCACACGGGAGGAGGAAGATGCCAGGCACCCAGCCAGACCGGAGGAGAAAGTCCGGCCCCGCCCTGAGTGCTAGTCTGGAGGAAGCCCATCAACCCTTAAAACCCATTAAAGGGGGTGTGGCTACCAGCACAGATCTGCGGCTGATCCAGGTACCCGGTTTCCAACTCCCCCACCCTTAGCTGTGCTAACTCAAAATATTTCCCACAAGCTTTTGGGGGTGTAGCTATCAACGCAAAACAACAATTGTACAGGCACCTGGTTTCTACCTCAGAGACTAGAGTAGAGAAGATACAGATGGAAGCTCATTTCCTTTCACACTGGCTATACCCACCACCCTGAATACAGAGGCTCAATCTAGAAATAGACAACAGCACCTACTGGAAGCAAAGAAAACAGTGTTCGGAGAGACTTATTTTTTCTCTTTCTTTCTCTTTTCTTCTCTCTCTTCCACAACTTCATCATATGTGAAACCAAGAACTGTGCATGAACAAGCGAATTACCAAAGTAATATAATATAGAGGAATTGCATATACCCCACCTCTCACCCATTTTTTTTATTTCTATCTTACTTCCCTTTTCCTTCTCTTATTTCTCTTTTCTTCCTTGTTATTTTTTTTCTTTTTTTTAATTCGTATTCTATCCCACTTTCAATCTCCTAACTTTTGCTATCTATACATAGGGTAACTATCTAAATAGA